CGGGAACCCCGTCCCCCCGGAAAGGTGGAGTGAGCAGCTCCGGCCCTGGACCGTCGTGTTGGACCCGTGCCACCGGACGTGCAGGAGGGGCGGTTGCTGCTGACCCCGATGGCAGTGCCCGCCCGCTTAGGGGCTTGCTTTTGTGTGCTGTGTGTTTTGCTGAGAGTTAAGGCCCGTGGACGTCACCCTGAGCACAAACTGAGCAGCTGCCTGGGATTTGCAAACCGTCTCTAAAGCTCTGTACGTTTTAAATGACCCGAAACTTTATTTCGTAGGACCCAACACATGCCTGGAGCGGGGGATTAGATAATCAGTTGAAAATGCACGACCTGAACACGGATCAAGGTAAGCCGGCCTTCCGCCAGCGTGCTTGCCGGCAGCCTGTGTGCCTCCTGGGAGAGGGGTGTGGGACTGCCTGATTCTCCCTGGATTAGGTACCCCCACAGATGCTTAGAGTTAGGACTTTCTGTTCAAATGATTGGACCAGTAAGTTACTGATCCCTACTGTGTGTATGTGTGTGTGTGTGTGTGTGTGTGTTTCCTCAGTGAGGCCCATCCCCATCCTCCCCATCCCCATCCCCACCTCCATCCCCATCCTTGTCCCTGTCCCTGATCCCAGCCCCACCCCTACACCCACTGCTTACAGGAGGGCACCTAGGTCTTTGCCTTTGACCTGGTCCTCAGGTGGGCTGGCGGCTTCCAGGATGGACTGATGTTTCAGTTCTCCTTTCAGAAGCCAGTTTAATTTAGATGGAGGGAGAGTAGGTTTTAAAAAGTCTAATGTTCTGAAATAAAACAGCCACCTTGTCCAGGGACTGTTAATCCTACTCGGGTCATTACTTAGCAGAGAACGGGCTTCAGTTGCATTTATTGACTGACAACACGCTGGCACGTTATCTCTTAGTTAATTGTTGCGTAGGGGCCAGGTCGGAAGTGACTTACCCACATGTTTAGGATGACTTTGGTGCGGAGCAGAGAGTGTGGAGCCAAGTGCACGGAGCTCTCAGGCAGAGCTGAGTATTTTTGCTTTTTGGGGTTTGGTGTGTACGCCTGCGTTAGACAAAGATGTGTTGGAAGGAGACGCACTCCACAGATGTGACTAAAGGAGTGGTTGGGCAGTGGGAGGATGGGTAGAGGAGGGGCACAATATTTTGTCAAAAAAAGTAACCCAGTTAGGAGAGGCCTTTGCAGGAAAGCCCCTTGCATGGTGTCTGGCAGCTGCATGTGCGGCTTTGCTTGCCAGCAGCTTATTCCACAGAGTTGAGTTAGTTTCAGGTTTAGGTCCTGTTTGTTCAAAAGCAGGAAAGAACACTGAAAGGCAAACTTAAAAACATTTTCGATGCTGGAGACCATCATTAAGGGAATTAGCTGTTTATTTTCGAAAGTTCATTGCCCGACTTGCCACCCCCATCCCCACCTGTTTTCTTTTTTAAATGATATATATTTTAAACAAGCAGCTTTCCTGTTTGAGGATCAAGACCACTTACTGTTCTTGTATCCTGAGCATTTGGCATAGATGCCAGCGCGTAGTAGACTTTCAGTAGATGCTAATTGGATGAATGAATGAGATAGTGAAGAGTTGAAATTGAAAGGAAAGAAATTATATTGGAAATTTGACCCATCGTGCAAACCAAGTGAATTAATCATAAGATTCCGTGCTTTCTTCATCTTCAGGCCTCAGATCATCTGTTGCCGCTTTAGTAGGTTTTTTATAAGCATTGGCTTAATTTGATGAGTTTTATTCAGGTCCAGAAGACAAGTTACCTGCTCATGTCTTTATTCAGCATGCATTTCTTGAGCACCTACCATATATCAGAATTAGATAGAGTCATAACTACAGAGTTAAACAAGGTCCCCTACTTAAAGGAATCCAGAATCAAGCGAGGACAGTGAGATGTGCTGTCATTGTAACGCAATCTGAAGTTCCGGTGATCTTCTGAGATGCACCATGCTGGGGGTCAAACTGTAAGGCGAGCAGGGGCGTGGCGGCTCTCCGTGGCCCCGGGAACCCTCCTTTCTGTGCGCAGTTACTCGCTTAGCGTGGGTGGGAGTGGATTCCTTACAGCGGAACGAATGCTTCCCTCCGCTCACTTGAAGAATCAGTGTAGCAGGCGTCGTTAACTAGGCGTGTGTTGTGTTTTCCTGTAGAAAACCTCGTCGGAACTCATGATGCCCCTATCAGATGTGTTGAATACTGCCCAGAAGTCAACGTGATGGTTACCGGGAGCTGGGATCAGACCGTGAAGTTGTGGGACCCCAGGACTCCTTGCAATGCTGGCACCTTCTCTCAGCCTGAAAAGGTAGGCTCTTCGTGCTCATGGCGGCAGTTATGGTCCTGGGGACTTGGTACAGGAGAGATGAATATTGACTATAGAGGTTGAGGCTGCACGGTTTATTTTATAAACCCAAATACATAGAAGTGTTTTCATGCAAAGGAAAGTTTATTTTGTTTTTAACTTTTTTCTGTCCGCTGTCCTGTTTATCCTGGAGAACAGTAGCCTGAGTGACAAATGTCGGGTGTGCTAGTGCCTCCTACCCAGGCCTGAGGTTTCAGAGGAGGCGGGCAGCAAAGCCGGCTCAGGCCACAGCGGGGCGGGTGGGAGCATCACTCATTCGCTCAGGACTGAGTCTGCATTGGCGTTTACTGTTAGCATTTCAAATGTGGTGAGAGCCGGGGCCTCTGTCCCTGGCTTTTACCAGTTATTTATTTTTAATACTGACAGGCGTGGTTGGAAGTCTCTAGTGAACCAAGCTGCTTAAAACTGAGTCTCTGTGTCTTATTCTAACCTTTGATCTGGACAATCTGTGCAGTGCGCGTGGAATCGCGCATTCTCGCTGCGTCCTCATCAGACGTGACCAGGCGGTAGTTAATTTTAGAGATGGATTGTTGGAGCAGTTCAGAGGTATCCTTCACGGGGTCTATTTCCTCCGTGTAAACAGCCTCGGCTCCCGGTAGCCGTGGTTATATACTGGAGTGCATCCAAAGAGCCATTAGTTTTGTCACTTCAGAGTCGAATCTACAACCTGGCAAGACCTTTGTTCAGAATGAAATAATTGCATTGTTTCTAGTTTTGATATATGGTTGCATGTAACATGTTAAGAGCTGTGATAAATTGCTGACAGAATATCATGTAATGGACAGCCACACTGAATCAAGCTGCTTATTGGTTCAGCGAGGTTCATTATGTCAGTTTTTTTAATACTTCCTTTGATAGATGTGTAGACCTCGTCAGTAGCCTGACAGTGGCTTCACGTGATTGATGGTCGGTGGGGATAGAAAGCACTGAGACTCCCGTGTCACCTGTATAAAGATTGTCCCATTATAAATTGATTTCTTCTGGGTTCTGTGTTTTTTAAGTTTGGTGTTTATGTGACTTAGGTTAATTTCTATTTTCTGCAAACATCTTGTTTTCTGAATAAACTGTGGTTTATTTAAGTATGTCTATATTAAATCTCTTTTGAATCTTTTTAATTCCTTATTTTTTCCCTTGGTCAAAATAGTTGTTGAATTTTAGGGCCAGATTGTGGTGATATTGGGTTGTTGCATTGTTAATCCTAACTTTTTTTTTTTGACTGTTGGTATGTAGTTAACATATTAATGATGATTAACCATGTGGCTTAATGTATTAAAGGGATGTCTTACCATGATACAGGCCTTATCATTTTTTATAATGGTTCTTCAGGTGTTAAAATATCACATTAGGTTAGAGTTGCTAAAAAATAAATTTAGAGCTGCTCATTAACAGGGAGAAATAATCAGAGGGACAATTTGTATTTGAAGTCTAGATTAGAGAGAGATTTAGATGGTCAGGAAAATACATTTTGCCACCATTTTCAAGAATTTGCTGTCTTGATTTCCGAATACATATTTGAAAGTAACACTTTTAAATCCTCGCGTATATTTATTATTTATTACAAAGGAATTTTTGTGGAAGTTGTTTTAATATTGAAAAGTGGCATTATGAGGGAAGAATACTTTGATGGGAGAAAATGCTTTTTAAATTTTTCCTAAAGATGAACTCTGTCTTGCGTGTTCGCTCTGATGTCCGGGCACAAGGATTTGCTTTGTCATGTGCCCGAGCCCTGTTCTGCCCTTTCAGTTTTAGTTCATGTGCCACCAAAGCAGCCAGTGAAGGCGGCTCCTCCCTCTCCCTGGACAGGCCTGTTCTGTAGTTGGACAGCTGGGAAGTCACGGTCCGCAGTCTTGTTCCAGAGGTGGTCACAGAAAAGCAACTTGAAAATGCGGGTCTGAACGGCCAGAGCCCCTGGAAAGGCGTCTTGAGTTGTTTTCTGCTTTATTGTCTCCTTCCTGAGTATTTTTATACTTTGATCTTGTCACTAAATGAAACAGGTTGGAAAGGTTGTTTAAAATTTTAATTTGTTTTAGGAATGAGAATTCCTCAAAAGTGTTTTTGGAATTAATTAGAGTGTACATCATACGATACTTGGTTAAGTATTAAGAATATCTTGGGGTTATTATTTTGTATGGATATTTAAAATGGTATTTAAAATTTGGTACCTGTGTGTGGGAACCTGATGAGCTAACTTTTTTATGGTTTTAGGATTGGTGGGTTTTATTTTGGGGCAAAATGTCATTTTTAGGCAAGTAGATGAGCTTTACAAGTTTTGTTCTTCCCTGAAGGTGTACACCCTCTCGGTCTCTGGAGACAGGCTGATCGTGGGCACGGCGGGCCGCAGGGTGCTGGTGTGGGACCTGCGCAACATGGGCTACGTGCAGCAGCGCCGCGAGTCCAGCCTCAAGTACCAGACGCGCTGCATCCGGGCCTTTCCCAACAAGCAGGTGCTGGCCTCGCCCCTCGCCCCTCGCCCCTCGCCCAGGTGTTGGGATTTGTAAATAGGTTCTTCTCTAATGATTTGCTCGCTGGCTTTTAAAGACTTTGTCCTTTCTTTGGAGTAGAGATTTAGAAATTGTTAGGTATGTTTTTGACATCCTTTGTTAAAAGCGCGTGTGTTGACCCAGTTTTAGAGATGACCTTGATGTTCAGGGAGGCCGAGTAATTCGCCAGCGGTCTGATAGAATCTTCTGATTTCTTGCTGATCCTGGTTCAGGAGGCTGGACAGACACAGTAATCAAGGAGAGCCTTATTTCAGTTTACACACCAGTGAATTCAAACTTGAATCTGGAAATTAAGGGCTATGGGATTTGCTGTTCTCTCTCTCCTTTTTGTAACGGAGTTCTTCAGCGAGTGTAGCACCTGAACTGGGTGTTTTAGATGCACGCCCCTGCGTTAGAGAGGCAATGCCCTCTAACGCTGACTCCATGTACGGGGTCAGCCTTTCCTCACCCTGCTAATGAGCTTGCCCTGTGCAGCGTGAGCCCCTCTCCCTGCAGGCCCTCGGGAGTGGAGGCGTGGTCAGTGGCCGGTCGTCTGTAGGAGGAAGTGTCACTACCAACAGCCCGTCCGGGAGTCCTCGTGTCCTTAGCGGCTGTGGGGCTGAGGCAGTGATGTCAGCGAGTCTCTGCTCCTTTAGCTGGAAGGCGAGGGCCTCAAACGGGGGCCACATTTTTTTCCTTCAAAATACTGTCAATTTCCATTGAAAACAAGGAATTGCAGTTACTTCAAACTTAGAGATTTAACTGCATGAGTAAAATATGCTTGCATTTTAAATATTTTTACGTCATATCTAAAGTTTTGTCAGCGCATTTCTCCAGTTTATACTGGAAGTTTAACTGAAAGTAAGATTTGACTGATTTTCTTGTCTCCATAAGTAGTTTTTCAATAGGAAATCTTCTTTTATACCTTGAAGAATCAAATAGCTTTTATATTTTTTTGTCTTTTACTTTGACATAAAAAACAGTGATGGTAGTCTTATTTTTTTAATAAAACCAAGTTGTAGTGTTGTGAAATTTTGGAATAGTTGTAACTCTTAGTCCAGCTCCAGCACTTTGTTACCACCTGGCTATCGTTTCTGAAGTCACCTTTCTCGGTCGGGGGGATGTGGGTGTTGGGCCGGGCCTGCACTGGTCACCATCTCCGCTTCTCTGGTTCCCTCTGGGCAGGGCTATGTGTTGAGCTCTATCGAAGGCCGCGTGGCGGTGGAGTACTTGGACCCAAGCCCCGAGGTGCAGAAGAAGAAGTATGCCTTCAAGTGCCACCGGCTGAAAGAGAACAACATTGAGCACATCTACCCGGTCAATGCCATTTCCTTCCACAACATCCACAACACATTTGCCACAGGTGAAGTCCGCCTGCTGACCTGCCGGCAGCCAAGGGAGCGGGAGCTCGCGGGGACACTAGAGGTTGATGCGCAGCCGAGCTTTTAAAGGGTCGTGCTTGCCTTTGACATTGAGAGGGAGCCAATCTGGCACCGTACTTCTTGGGGAAAGCGTTCTGTGTGTGATCTTAAAAAGAACCATTTGTGGCCATAATGGTTATTTCTGTACCTGCTTTTAAGGATCATTTTGACTTTTCCAAAATTATTTGCAGGTGGCTCTGATGGATTTGTAAATATTTGGGATCCGTTTAACAAAAAGCGACTGTGCCAGTTCCATCGGTACCCCACCAGCATCGCGTCCCTGGCCTTCAGCAACGACGGCACGACGCTGGCAATAGCATCATCGTATATGTATGAAATGGACGACACGGAGCACCCCGAAGACGGCATCTTCATTCGCCAAGTGACAGATGCAGAGACAAAACCCAAGTGAGTACGCTTCACCTGTGTTTGAGCCTTTGCTTGCATTCAGCCCAGGGCTTATTAATTTTTCTAAATTCATGAATAGCGTTGTTGATGCCTGCTTGATAGTGCAGCGACTGTGGGGAGGGAGTTGATTTTATCTTGTTCTCCCAAGCTTTCAATATCCGTGGGTTGATAGACGTCTGATGGATAAAATTGTGCCTGGTTGTTCTGTAGGGAAGAATGTCAAACCCTCGTTCTTCTTGAATAGGCCCTGTTATTGGAGTCTTGGGGGTTATTACTAGCTCATTGCTTGAAAATTAAGTTGAGGAATTCAAGAATAATTTATTGAAGCAAATTCTATGTAAGATATTTAAACGTGAACTGCCCAGCGCTTTCCCCTCCACAGAGGTTGTCTCTGTGATGTTTACACAGAGTGAATGGCCTCAGGTGATGGAAACAGTGAGATGGCCCTGCCTGGGACAGCACAGTCCCTTCGTGCTGACACGTCGTCCATCTCCTTGGCCCTTGGTTGACAGAGGAGCCATTCACTGTGGGGTGCCAACAGGGCAGCGCTTTCCTTAATGACCGGCACAGGCTCAGGGCAGCCGATGCCGAGGCCTTTGTAACCCATGAACCGCCTCCTGGGTCCCGTCCTGGTCCGGGTCCCTCGGCGCCAGGCCCTGCAGGACGTCCTTGGGCACGTGCTCAGGCTCCCTCTCTTCCCGAATGGAGACGGGCCACCTCGCGCCCTTGCTGTCAGGTTGAGTCCCTGCGAGGCAGAGTGTGAATACTGACCATCATTGTACTTGGACGGGCTGGACTGGGGAGAGGCTTGCAGGTGACATCTGTGGTGAAGGCTGTGCTTGCATTTGCGTGCTCTCTGCCCCCCCATCTCTCGTCTCTCGTCTCTCGTCTCTCGTCCTGGCCGCCATTCTGATGTCATGCTGTTCTTTTCTCTTTTGAACTTGTAGGCCACCATGTACTTGACTAGATTTCATTTGCTTAAATGCCATGTTGATGATGATAAAACAGTTCCTACTCTCTAATGGTGGATTTATTACTATTAACAAAGAAACCGGAGAAAACATTAATTTTAATATTATAGGAACCTACAAATAAGGGATAAGAGGTTTTTATTGATTTTGTTTGTAAACAAACACTTTTCTTAAGTGCATGAGATGGCTTGGTGGTTTGCTGTGTTAAAGGTATTCGGGCAAACGAAATTGGAGGCAGTGACTGCGCTTTTGAGAGTCAGTCTGACCTTGCTGGTTTTGTTTCTGTGTGGCAGTAAATGTGTGTAAAGAAATATAGGTAATAAAATCCCTTTGCGTTTTCTTCTGGACCTTAAATGCTAGAGGAAAGGCTCTTCGGCCATTTTTCCTGCTGCTGGTTACAGTTGCTCATCCTCAGGCTGCTCAGACTGCCTCATGAGGAGGTTAATCTACAATTAAACAGTATTTCCTCCTGGCCGTCCATTATCTTCTGAAGCAGATGGTTCATCATTTCCTGGGCTGTTAAACAAAGCGAGGTTAAGGTTAGACTCTGGGGAATCAGCTAGTTTTCAATCTTATTAGGGTGCAGGAGGAAAACTAATAAGAAAACCTCCTAACATCATTTTGTGACTGTAAACAATTATTTATTAGCAAACAATTGATCCCAGAAGGGCGAATTGTTTGAGTCAGTAATGAGCTGAGAAAAGACAGAGCATATCTGTGTATTTGGAAAAATAATTGTAACGTAATTGCAGTACATTTAGACAGGCATCTATTTGGACCTGTTTCTATCTCTAAATGAGTTTTGGGAAACATTAATGAGGTTTACATATTTTTCTGACATTTATATAGTTCTCATGTCCATTTCAGTTGCCCAGCCGCTGGTGATTACGGTTAAAAAGAAAAAATGGTAGTGAGAACGCGATTCATTTTAGTGCGATGCCTGCAGCAGGGCACGCACTCGGCGGGCCTGTTCTCGGGGCTTCCAGGGCCTTTGGGGCGGATGCTGGTTTGCTCATACGCAGATGGAGCTTCTGAAAGGGCCGGGGCCTTCACTGAATGTGCTTGATCCGCGATGTGTGTCAGACCGTGTTCTGATGCAGAGAAAGGTCTCATTTTGGTCTTTAGTGTTTCAGTGAGAACTCAGTGCGTCTGAACCTGCCTTTTGAACCATATTTTCTCATTGCAGGTCCACCTAATCGTCTACGCAAGTGGCTTCCCTGCGGAAAGCTTGGCTTTCCTCTCCGGGGCGCACTGCAGTGTGGGTCCCCCCCCCCTTCCCCCAGGGGCGTGCTCTGTCCGATGCTGCTCGCCTGCCCTCGGGCCTGGGCGGGAGTCTCGTCCCGGGCAGTGGTCGGTCGGAAGGACCGTCTCTCCACAGGCCCCGGCGCTTCTCCTGAGCAGCTTGAGCTCTTTTTATCAGATCACCTGACCCTGTCCCGCTGTCTAATAAAGCCGAGACGCAGACCCCGTGCTGGATGGTGGTAAATGTGGGTGATTGATGTGAGCTCCTGCATCGGGCCTGGTGGGCAGACATGGTGCCTCGGCCACGCTCCTCCCTCCGTGCTGCTGGAGGCCGGCCTGGGAAGGCGCTGTCCTGGGGTCCTGGCTCCCTTGCGCCCTCTCGCTGGATCAGCGGGCCCTGAGCCAATGGCAGCCCTGCTGGGTGGCACAGCCGCTGCGGGACCACGGGCGCCCTTCACAGGCCTCTCCGGGGAGTGCTGGTGCGCGGAGCTCACGCTGCTCGGGTCCAACCTCATGACAGGCCGTCTGGGATCCGTCACCGCTGCGTCACCGCGAAGCCCCGGGATGTAAATGATGTCACGGCCGTGGGTCTGTGGTGTGACGACGAGCCTCTCAGAGTCATGGCCACTCATCCGAGGACCGAGCACGAATGAAACGCCTGCAGATGGGAGACGGTGGCCGAAGGAGAGCAGTGGGGCCTGCTTTCCGGGGTGGGGCCCCTGTCCTGTCTCGAAGCCAGTGTGTCTCCTGAGTGTGTCCCTGCCTCCCTGCCGGCCTCGTCACAGCTCCTCCCAGGTGGTCCCCAGATGACCCACATGTCACATCTCAGTGTTTTCATTGGCTTCCTCTTCCCGATTTTCCTTCTCTATTTTTAAGTGTCACTTGGGTTTATCTGTTGTACTGCGATCCCACCACCTTGGAGGTCCCCTCTGCGCCCCCCCCCCTCCGCCCCCGCCCCCTGAGTGCAGCCGCCTCCAGTCTCCGCCCTAGACCCTCCATCCCCGGCAGTGACCGAGGGTGAGATGTGAAATATACCTGAACTCTGGTCCGGAGCAGGGGCCCACAGACACCTGGTGGAGGAGCCCGTCGCTGCCTCTGGACGGGCCGCGTCTCTGCGTTTCCTCCCTTTTTAAAGGACTTGGTTACGGCCTCCTGCACTGACTATGCCAGACGCCCTGCCGCCTCTGGTTTGGACAGACTGCTCCCCACCACACGGGACTGGACTGCAGGCACCTGCTCTTTCTGTTGCTGAGCCTGGGACCCCGTGTCCCCACGGCCCGCAGCAGCCCTTCATCACTCGCGAGGAAGGGGAGCTGCTCTGTGGCCCCTGCTGCCTGTCGGGTGCTCCCAGGGCGGCACTGGCCTTCCCGGGAGTTCTGGCAGGAGGGCGTTTGTCCTGGGCAGCAGCTGGCTCCGCTCACTGTAGACAACGGAGGATGTCAGCAGGTCCTGGTGCTGGGGATCCAGGCCTGTTGGGACTGGAGCCCCCCTGCCGGGGCCCTGCCTGCAGCCCTCCCTCCGCCATCAGCTTGGTGCTTGGCGTTTGCTGAGTGTTTGCTCTGCATCTGTGTTCAGGGGAAGAGTGTCCTGGTCAGATGAGGGCAGGCTCCTCCCTCGTGGGGGACCCTGTGCAGTCGCCTGCTGGGAGCTTGGGGACTCCAGTACGGAAGTGCTTGTGGCTGCTTAACCCCGCATCCTGCGACCCTGAGCCTCCTCAGTCCCA